GGGTTATGTATACTTTGTGTCTGCATTTAACATGTTTCAATCTTTTGCTTTATTTAAATATCAATTATTATCATAAATTTTAATGATTACATTATTTCATATAGTATTTTAAATAAATTTATAAACAATTTTAAATATTGAAATATAAACTATGAAAGTAAATACACGTAGATTAGATCAATAAAAATGGACATATTAGGCCTAGTAATCTTTATCTATCATTAACACCAATAACATTTTCAATATTCTAATCAATTTTTTATATAGCCGGAGTTAGTTTCGAACTAGACAAACCTTTGCTAAAAAGGTACACTTTCTCCATGAAAAGGCTTCTATGAATGGAATGACCTGTTCGAAGCACGAACTCCTGTAGACCAAACCAAGTACCGTTACGATGTTTAGTCGTACGGGAAATCCACTCACGATGCAGTACCGTTACGATTTTTAATCGTACGGGAAATCCACTCACGAAATAATTTCTAATTTTATTATATTACCACCTTTTTTATTACATAGATCTTTTTCAAATCATAACTGCTTTTATAACATTATATAGACCCATTAAACACAAAAACTGCTCTGGCTTCGGGGGCTTCGCCCCCGACCCCACCGGGGCCCTTAGGCAGGCCTCTGGACCCCACGCCCAGAGAACCCCCCCTTGAAATGACCTGGCTACGGGCCTGCTGTACATATCTTACTAGCTCTTCCAAATTTTTTTATCAAAGAGTTCCCAAATATCTTAAAATGTTCATTTGTACAAAAAATAAATAAATAAATAAAATGCTGAGGGGCAATTCAAACTCACGACCTTTAGTTGATTATAACACAGGGTTAACTGACCGTGCAATTTGTGTCCTTGTAGTGGTAATAATTAATGACAATTGTGAACCCTTGCTGAAAACACATATAACAAAAGTCACTGTGTACCATATTTAAGCATGGGTAATATTTCCTCCATGATTTAAGCATGCTTTAATAGTGTCAACAAAAAGCCTCGTCTGAAAGGTGCATACACAAAGCGTTAAATGCTGAAGAGAGTTAACCTCAGTTTAACACATGGACGAGCGGTTGCTCTTGTTTTAAAGATTGTTTCATAATACTATACAGCATTTTGAATGGATCATTTTGTTATACATAATTTATAATATTTTACCCAAAATTTATTATTTACAATGGTAAAATTGTAAAAACAGGTACTGTATTGTATATGCCTGACCATATGACTATAACTTAATATTAGCCTACCTTCAATTTGTATTGTGACATAGCATGTAGCTTCATTTCCTGTAGGCGATCCATTGTCAGTGAAGACATATTCAATTATAGTTTCTCCGACCATAAATACACCAGTAGTATCAAAAACAGCGGAAGCATTATCAATTATTATGTTATCTGGATCAATGTCTGTATAGTTGGTTGAGAACATGGCAACTTGAACATTATCAGTGACATTAAGGTTGTAGCTGACAGTGCCATTTGGTTTTCCCTCATCAGTTACACCAGTAACTAGTGATGGACAACTTGGAACAGGTGGTTCTTTGTCTGGAAATAATAATATTAGACTATTCGGCCCTAACACAACTTTATTTCACATTCAGTTATGGGTCTATAACATGTGGAGACTGTAAGTTCCTAGTCAATTGGAGCTCTAATTATTTTTTTAACAGGTAAGCATATGGAATCTCTAATTAGCTTTGGAATCAGTATTAATAGCGCATTCAGAATAAAGAAAAGAATGAATGAATTTCTCTCAAAACATTCTTGCGGCAGACACAAGGGAAGATAATTACCCAGTACTGTACATTTATCATTATTTTCAATGTATCAATCTATGGATACAAATTTGAGTAATGTCGTGGCGAAATGGTTAAGTTGTCGCACAGGCCAGTATTGAGTAAATGAGCTATAAAATATGGGAGCTCAAAAAATTGCATAAAAATCCAATTTGTTTTTCATTATATATCAACAGTTTAATGTCTTATTAATCATGTACCAAAGTATTAGTTCCGGAAGTGGTCAACAAGTTGTTTATTTAACGTTATTTTGATAGTTCATTCTATTAAACAATGTATGCACAAATAACTTTGAAAGGCAATTACTCAAAATCATGTTTATCTTGATTCTAAGAGTACTGTACTTTCACTTTCCAACAACATAGGCTTGAAATGTCCAATTTCAATGAATGACCCCTCATTTTAAAGATCACATACTCAGGTATCTGAAAATACCAATAACTTGAATTTCAATTTTTTCTACAACTTAGCCATTTGGCCACAACATGCCTCATTTTATTGCAAAATAATATGTAGCATTATAAGATAATCATATCTCTTACAATATGTATGAATGTGTACTGTTGCTCTAAACATCACTCAATTTATCTAATATTAATAAACAAATTATAAATTCATTCTATCTCATTTTGTTTATTTCATTCAAATTTATTTAACAAGGGTGACCCTAAGAGCAATGTTCATTTAAATGGGCCCTTCACAATAAAAAAGTATCAGTTTGAAAAATACAAAAGCCTCATACTACTGTTATCATTGTTTGCAAATGCATCTGTTGTTGCATACTCAAGTGCTGTGAATGATGTAAAACTTAATTCTTTATTCATCAGATGCACTATACTCAAGTATTCGGAACTATGTAACAATGACCATGAAAGTACAGTTATCGTTGTTTACAAATACATCAGTTGCTGTATACTCAAGTGTTGTGAAATATGTAGAATTGCTTAATATTATTTCATCTCACCTTTTACAATGACCATGAATGTACAGTTATCATTGATGCCAAGTACATCAGATGCTCTATACTCAAGTATTCGGAATTATGTAACAATGACCATGAAAGTACAGTTATCGTTGTTTACAAATACGTATCAGTTGCTGTATACTCAAGTGTTGTGAAATATGTAGAATTGCTTAATATGATTTCTTCTTACCTTTTACAATGACCATGAAAGTACAGCTATTATTTTTTTCAAATACATCTGTTACTGTATACTCAAGTGTTGTGAACGTAGAATTGCTTAACAGGATTTCTTCTTACCTTTTACGATGACCATGAAAGTACAGCTTTCATTGTTTCCAAACACATCTGTTACTGTATACTTAAGTGTTGTTGTTCCAATAGGAAAAGCTTCTCCTGATTGATTGTAACTTGCACCAGATCCTGTTACTGTGACATCATACAGATCATCTGTATTATCAGTATAGCTGACTGTCCAGTTGATGAAAGAAGTCGGTAGTCCAGCATCTGTTGTTACATTGAAGTCACTTGGACACATTATTTCTGGATTTTCCTCATCTTAAAAATGAATACAAATATTAACACACCATATTAACTGACAATATCAATGATACAATCTCTTCTAGAATCCATACTCCGATATGTGCAATATTTTCCATAATCTATTCCCTTACATTCTAATTCTATTTTAAAAAAATTAATACAAACTCCATATTTGCATTAATTAAATTTCATTTTCATTCTAAAACATTGAATTAAACCACAAATTAATTTCAACCATTTTTAAGATGATAACGATAGACACTATTGGTATAAATCGGTATTTTAAGGCCTAAACTCGTCGACGACAAGGCAATGCTTGGCATAAATATGAAGAATAACCCCCAAATTAAAACATGTTTGTAAACATTTTACAACTTTTGCAGTTTTGACGATTAATTTCTAATTAATTTGGTAGATTTTATTAAATATATGAGGCATACCATCCAAACAGTAGTGAGGCCTGCTGTCACTGATGTTGAACTGAGTAATTAGCAAAGAATGTGGCAGTATCATTTACTTTAGCACAGAAAAGCCGTAATAGTTTTACTCATAACTCTGGCAATAGTAGGTTGATTCCAGTAAATGATCCATCATATTAAAGCATGTAATGTCTAAAATATGAATATGATGCTGGTTTTGGGATGGCATGCCTCATATATAAAGCTTATAGAATGGATTTCACTAAATCCTAATATTCTGACCTTTAAAAGCCGCAAATAAAGTTAATAAATTCTAAGCCTTTCTAACCTACTACCTAAGTATGAAGCAATGTTTAAATACTGCATGTGATTGCACATTTGCTTACACTGCACAGTGTATACCAAGAAATTAAAGGTTGTAAAGAATAATTATAACATTTAATTATTAACTCTAGCTTTCGTCCACACAGTGGATTTCATCACATTTTCTTCTTCCTAGATTGAGAGCCAACTTCATATTTATATATATCTAGTCTAGGGCAAGAACTCACAATACAATATTTGCAGCTACTGTACAGAATTTCTCTCATAAATAAAACTTAGGTTATCAATTCGCGAAAGTTTTCAAGATGATAATGATATTTTGTGACAATAATTCTATACGATAGTATAATACATACTCCAAGTATCGAAATGCACACCATCGTGTCAGGATTCAATAGTTCGACATTAATTATATCATCAGGAATGAAAAATTATCCATATTTGCAAGCTTATATGCACAAGTAACAAAAGTGTTTCGACCAATCAAAACATTACCCCTAGTAGATGACAGAGAGTGGTTCTAAATGGTGTTAATAATTGATGACAATGGCTGTCTAGTGTGGTGCCACAAGGAAGTGTCCTTGAAATTTGAATATAATTTTCTTTTGATCTCAACTTTTTTTTTTTAATGACAAATTTGAGGGGCTGCGGGCCAGCAGGGCCCCCTTTAATCTGCCACTGGATATGTGGTATATGTCCTATAGTCGATGTCAGAGACACATTATGCTGGTATGTAATTAACAAAGCCCTTTTGTGCCAGGGTGCTAAATCGAGGACCCTATGGGTAGGGTTCTTCAGAGCCCCTAGGGGCTGGAGCACATAGCCGTTACGCCACTGAAGCAGTATCATCTGCATACATAAACGGTTTGCAACTTACACTAATCAGAATATCATAATAAACATAATAAAACATAATAACAATGGGTGTAGTATGCTGCCCTTAATTACATCGCATCATAGGAAGAAGTGCCGATATTAATTAACTTAAGTAAACTTACTGTTGATAAATAAGTAAAAGTTATTACTCCCTTCAAATACATTTTTAATTATATTTATAGAGGGTGATCATTCAAGCCTATGCTACAGGTTGGCTGACCTTAATAGGCTTAGGGAATGGAAATGTTTTTTAATCGTGACAAAAAATCCTGTAATGTCACTGGGATTGGAAAGAAATCAACTCACCATATACTGTTACAGAGAAAAAGCATAAGGCAGCATTGCCGTATTGATCCTCAGCTGTACAAGTTATATTCTGTGGTTTAATTGGCCAAGTAGCATTAAACCTGTTGCCAGATTGTCTTGTACAATCTGCATTTACAGTGCCGGAATTATCAGTAACTGATACATTCCAATATACAGTGGAGTAAAATTGAAATGAATCTGTCAACGTCATATTGATGTCATCAGGGCAATCAAAGTATGGGTCTTCATTGTCTGTAAAGAAAAATAAAACAAAACTAATAATAACAATTGTATATAAGAAAAAAATAAGTCAATGTCATCTGGACAATCAAAGTCTAGCATGGGCGGATCCAGAGATTTTCTGATTGGGGGGGGGGCACAATATAAAGTCTACACTGCCACCTCCACCCCACCATGGTTGGTATAAATAAGTGGTAAGCAATCGAGCTCTCCTTTCACCCACTGCTGGATCACCACTGAACTCATGGGTGCACTCCCTTTTTCCCCCTTTCTTGTCTTTAACTCAAATTTTCTCCCTCTTTTTTGAATCGCCTGTCAGGGATTTATTGTTTGTTAAGAAATAAAACAAAAATAAAGTAT